TCTTTTTTTTTTTTTTTTTTAAGATTTATTTATTTGTGCATACAGAACTGGGGTACAGGCCATAGGCTCAGGGGTGGTGAGAGGATTCACCAGAGACAGAGTGGGGAGCAGAACAGGCAGATCGACGAAGTACACTGCTGCGGGGAGCAGCGGGCGGGTCAGGAGAGGTCTGCCACACCATGTGGTCACCTCCAGGGCAGGTGGGAATCGAACTCATGTGCAAGCAGCTTTAGATTCTCAGTGCTGTGCTTTAACCCGCTGCGCCACCAGGGAGGACCTAAATCTTCTCATTTTTTAATGGCTTGTTTTCTTTTTGTTGAGTTATATGAGCTCTAATTTCAGTCCCTTGTCATATATCTATAGTGTGCAGATACTGTGTCCCAATCTTGTAGTATCTCTCTGTTTCGGTTACTGTCTTTTTTGTTCTACAGAAGCTTCTCAGTTTGATGTAACCCCAGTTTTTTATATTCTCCTTTGTTTTCCTTGCTGATAGAGACAAATTCACAAAGATATTTCTCATTTGTGTCATAGATTTTGTTTGCCATTTTTTCTTCTATGTATTTTTTGTTTCAGATACTACATATGTCTTATCTCCATTTTGAGTTGATTTTCTTGTGTGAGATCATGGTGTAGTTTGACTTTTTTTTTTTTTTTTTTTGGTATGTGACTATGCAGTTTTCCACCCAATTTACTGAAAACGCTTTCCTCATCCATTGTATATTCTTCAACCCTTTGTTGTAGATTAATTGTCCGTATATGTGTGATTTCAGATCTGGGCTCTCAGTTTTATTCCTTTGGTCTCTGTCTTTTTGTTCCTCTACCATCTAGTTTAAATTATTATAGCTTTATAGAATCATTTGAAGTCTGAATGTAGAATACCACTATTTTCCCCCTTTTTTGGAGAGTTTTGGCTACTTGGGGTCTTATGTGTTTGCATATGAATCTCAGTAATATATTTTTCATTTCTTTGAACAGTGCCATTGACATTTTTATTGGGATTGCACTGAGTGTAAATTGTTTTGGGTAGGATGGCCATTTTGATGATTTTGATTCTTCCAATTAATGAGCAGTGTATATCTTCCCATTTCATTGTGTCATCTGTTTCTTTTAACAATGTCTTATAGTTTTCCTTGTAAGTCCTTCATCTCCTTCTTAGGTTTATTCCCAGGTTTTGATTATTTTTTGGCAAGATTTAAATGGGATGGCTTTCTTAAATTTTTCTTCCTCTAGTTCATTGTTTTCACACTGAAGGCAACTGATTTTTCTGTGTTGATTTTGCTGACCAGCCCATCATTTTGCTGACTGGTTTATTGTTTTATTTCATTTATTTATTTATTTATTTATTTTAGTCTTTAGGGTTCCCTGTGTATATTATCATATAATCTGAAAAAAAAATCATAGCTTTACTTCTTTCCCAATTTGAATTCCTTTTATGGTTTTCTCTTGCCTAAATGCTCTAGCTAGGACTCTGCTAGTGTGAAAAGTGGTAATAGTGAACATCCTTGTCTTGTATCAAATCTTTTTTTTTAAAAAGATTCTTTTATTTATGCATACAGAACTCGGGTACAAGTCAGAGGTGCAGGGGCAGTGAGAGGACTTACCAGAGACAGAGTGGGGAGCAGACCAGGCTGACTGTCGAAGTACACTGCTGAGGGGAGCAGCGGGTGGGTCAAGAGAGGTCTGCCATGTCATGTGGGTTACCTCTGGGGCAACTCATGCTGAAGTGGCTTTAGCTTCTTAGCGCTGTGCTTTAACCTGTAGCTCCACTAGGGAGGGCCCTCTTGTACCAAATCTTAATGGAATAGCTTTCAGTTTTTCACTTTGGGCTTTCTTTTTTATTTCTCTTTTATTTATTTGTGCCTTAATTTTAATATTCCCTTCCTTCTACTGACATTTGGATTTTTTTGTTTGTTCTTTTTCTTGTTTCTGGAGATAAGAAAAAGTTGCTTATTGGGGCTATTTCTTGTTTGTTGATATGGGCCTTTAGTGCGGTGCATTTCTTAGTACTGCTTTTGTTGTTTCCATACATTCTGGAAAGTGAGTCTTCATTGTCCTTTACCTCAGGTATTTGTATGTTTCTTCTTTGACTTCTACATTAATCCAGTGGTCTTTCAATAGTGTGTTGTCCATTCTTCCTTTATTAGAAGTGTTGCCTGCTTTCTTTTTTTAGTTGATCTCTCGTATACCTTTATGGTTAGAAAGATACTTGGTATCATTTCAGTTTTTGTTAATTTATTGATATTTGTCTTGGGGCCCAATATGTGTCTGTTCTCTTCTTACCCACATTGTTTCTTCTGAGAATGCTGATGTAAGCCTGGTCTGTGTAGATTACCTACACAGTTCCATTGTAGATTATCTGCTTCTCCCTCACCAACTTCAATATTCTTTCTTTGCTTCGATTATGGGAAGTTTCACTACTGTATGTCTTGTGCTCATTTCATTTTGTTTAGTTATCCTGGTGTTCTTTTACTGTCCTAGATTTGTTCTTAATCTCCTCTTCCAGGTTTGGTATGTTTTCTTTTATTATTTCTTTAAATATGTTCTCTTTCTTTTACTTATTTTCTTTCTGAGATACTCTTTGATCTTATATTGCCTTCCCTCATGCTGTCGGCTAGTTCATGAGGTGTTTCTTCATAGTTTTTCTCTATTTTTTTATTTCTTTTTTTCTTCTATCTTGCTACTTTGTAAACTTATCTTGAAGTATTCTATAGCTTTCTATGGTATTTTTCATCTCCTCTTTTAATATTTTTTATCCTCTAATTTATTTCCTTCTTTAGTTTATTATATTTGATCTTCTGTTTGTTGCTTTTGTTCTGAGAACAGCCCATTTTTCTGAATTTTCTGATCTGTTTTTCTGCATCTATTCTGTGAGTTCTCAGATTTCTTTAGGATGGCAGGCTTGAATTCTATATCAAATAGGAAGAACAGATCTTCCATGTCTTTTAGGTTAGGTTCTGAATTGTTTTCTCCACTTGTGGTGTTATACTAGCATTTAGATGTTTACTGCTATTTGTTGTAGTATTCCATCTTCCCATTTTTTTCAAACCCTGACTTTTGTGAATTACATCTCTCTAGGCATGTCCCCACTCCTGCTACACTGGGCGGATGCACTCAAAAGGGAGCAGCTGGGGATCACTACTCTTGAGCAGGGCCCTGCATGTCCCAGACTGGAGCTTGCATGGTTCCTAAAGCACTGAGGGGTCATCCTGAGGTTGGGGGTGCTTCTAAAAGGTGACTAAGAGCTATTGGTGTCATTTAAGACCCTGTGCAGTCTGGAGTGGGGTATGTGCTGGATCATAGGGTGTGGAGGGTGGTAAAGGCCTGTTTATGATGGGCAGGTCTCTTTGTGGCCCATACTGGTGCCTGTGTCTGCTCCTGAGGTGCTGGTGCCTGATTTGGGAGTTAAGGGAACTTTCCAAGAGTTAGCTAGAGTCCAGGGGTGAAGGGTAAATCCCTGTGCTGTCCATACAAAATCCTGCATGTGGATATATGTAGCAGCAGCAGCTTTATTTCATTGGTCAAGTTTGTGACAACCAAGATGTTGTAAGTGAATAAACTGTAGATAAGTGAATAAACTGTGATTAGCCCAGGCAATTAGCACTAAAAAGAGCTATGCAGCCATGAAAAGACATGGAAGAAGATAAATGCTATTACTAACTGAAAGGCCAATATGTAAAGGCTACATAGTGTATGACTGCAGCTATATGAGATTCTAGAATAAGCAAAGATAACGGCAATAGTAAAATGATTTGTTTTTTTCCAGGATTTGGAAAAGAGAGTATGATTAGGCAAGGCATAGAAGATTTATAGGGCAGTAAAATTATTCTGCATGCTATCATAATGGGGAGATACTGTCTCTACACATATATCTAACATATGATAAGCATCATTAAGAGTGAGTGAACCTTAATGTGGAGTATGGATTTAGTTTGGTTGATTATAAGAAATCACTACTCTGGTGCAGGATGTCAGTTAGGAGGAGCTGGCAGGGCTATAGAGGTATGTGGGACATCTCTAATAAGTTTTCTCTGAACCTTAAAACTATTCAAAAAGTTTTTTTTAAAACTTACTTTATAAAGAAGTTCCAGGAACATTGCATAATTTAAAAACAAGTTTGTTTCTTACAAGACTTCTTAGTGCCTTAATTGTGCAAAGTGATTTTACAAGAAAGAAACATTACATGTAGTTTCCCAAATGTACTTAACTATGAAACTGAGGAATAACTAACAATTTGAAAAATACTCCTTTTTCAAAAATAGATGAGTGCTTTTAAAGTACATCTGATGAACTAATTCACTTCTGTTTTTATTTAATTTACTTTAAAACAGCCAGCTAGAGATGACTTGGTAGGATGGTTTCTTTGGGGAGATTGCTAGCTAGCTAATCAAAAAGCACTTACAGATTTAAAAATAGTAATATGATACTTTAAAAAAAATATTGAAAAATCATCCTCAAAAAGTAGATTATTCCTAAGGAATTTATAAGTCTAATAAGACCTACTTTATTTTAAAAAACAAATCTTTGATTATGTGCAATAAATTTCTTGACAGTAAGCTTTGGGATGAGGAAATACAATGCTGCTTTTTTCTGGGGGTTTTTCAAACCCAGATTTCTAAGATACCTTTCTTCTCATTTAACACCAGAGAGTCCCCTGTCCCCTAGTTTTGTGGGGTTTTGTTTTGTTTTAAGATTTGTTTACTTATGCACACAAGAACTGGAGTACAGTTCAGAGGTGCCAGGGGTAAGAGGATTCGCCAGAGACAGAGTGGGGAGCAGTACAGGCAGATTGACTGAAATACACTGCTGAGGGGAGCAGTGGGTGGGTGGGAAAAAGTCTACCAAGCCATGTGGGTCACCTCTCTGGTCGGAATCAAACTTGTGCTACAGTGGCTACAGATGGCTTCATAGTGCTGTGTATTAACCTGTTGCACCACCAGGGAGGGTCCTTCTCCTCTTTTAATAATAAATTTTAACTATGGATTTTATTTGTCCTTTTTCAGGTACAATATTTAGATCATGGATTCACTGAGAAGATTCCACAGTGTCATCTTTACCCTATTTTGCTTTACCCTGATACACCCCAGTTCTGTATTCCTTGTCAGCTCTATAATACTGTACCTGTGAGTAAACAGTAACTTGTGGAATGGCTAATACTAAATATATGAATAATTTTCTAGAAATTAGAATATGAAATGAAGTCCCTTTCATTTGCAAGAAAAAAAGGTACCTAGAAATAAGTTTAATAAGATAACTAAAAGCCCTTTGTGAAGAAAACTGTACATCTAAAACATTTAGATCTAAAACTACAGATCTAAGTGAAGAAAAATAATCTCCTCATAGATAAAAAGGTATTATTGTAAAATTTTAGTTATTTCATCAATATTTCAACAAACCTGAATCTGGAAATCTGATAAATGTGTGGTATGTTAATTCTCTCTTGCTGTATAACAGATTAAGCTAAAATTCAGTGGTATTTGTTAATGATAAACTTTCTTTCACCTCATAGTTTCTTTAACTCAAAGATTGGGAGCACCCTACCTGGGTCAAGAGGGCCAGGGTCTTTTATGATGTTGCAGTCTAGAAGCAGAAGTGCAATCCTTGGAAGGATTGACTGGGAGAGCATCTATTCCATATGATTCACTCAAATATTACTTGCAAAAGCAGTCTCCTAACTCACTGTTGAGAGGAGGCCAGTTCTTGCATGGGAAATTCTTAACTATATGAAAGCATAGCAATTACTGCTCCTTAATAAGTATATATCATAGCCATTATACAATCACTGTGTTTGCAATTTCATCCTTAAAAATACTTTTTACAATGTTGTTTTTTTTTTAAAGATTTATTTATTTGTGCATACAGAACTGGGGTATAGGCCAGAGGCTCAGGGGCAGCGAGAGGCTTCACCAGAGACAGAGTGGGGAGCTGAACAGGCAGATTGAGGAAGTACACTGCTGAGGGGAGCAGCGGGTGGGTCAGGAGAGGTCTGCGCGCCATATGGTCACCTCCGGGGCAGGCGGGAATTGAACTCTTGTGGAAGTGGCTTTAGGTTCTCAGTGCTGTGCTTTAACCCACTGCGCCACCAGGGAGGGCCTACAATGTTTGTTTTTAATGGAGGTTTATTCTTTTTTTTTTTTTGAGAGTGTGATATTATATTTTTTTTATTACAAAGTTTATTTTTACATCATTTTGCACATTTTTTTTCTAATGGAGGTTTATTCTTTTTAAGCACTTAAAAGAATACTAGAATAGAGGCATCTCAGACAAATTATCAGTTTAATATTATTTTTATCATATACAAATTATATTCTCTGAAAAATGTTTTATTTTGTGCTACTGTCTCGTGTTGTTTATAGCTACTTTTGTGAACCTTCATTTGTTTCCTATTTTGTGAAGAAATGAAAGAATCTGAATTTATTATCCCTAAATAGGTTGGAAATGTCTGGCAACCAGATGCAGTAGAACTCCTGCAAGAACTGCTTTCAAAAAGAGAGGTGGAAATTCACATTATGGTAATTTGATATAGCTCATCAAAGTATATGTTGATTAAATTATTTGCCAAACAATATACTAGGTAACAAAATTTGAGTAATATTTTTATGATAAACAGTGTACTTTTGACTATAAATTATTAACATAAAAAAATTACTGCTTTAGTTCCTAAGCTTGCTGTAAGTAACCTCATTTTGAACAAGTTTCTAAGTATTTCATAAGTATTAAAGTCATTAATTGGACCTTACTAATTTATTTTTACATGTGGGGACAGTATCAAAGAATCTGAGATGTTTATAAATTTATGTTGTCATTTTCAGGGTAGTTCTGTGTATGTGACACTCTCAGTGCAAGTGATTCCTATCCTCAGATCTTATCTAACTAGTGAAACAGCTGAATACAAGATGTAAACCTAAGTTCTTCTCACTACAAAGTAACATACTGAGAGTCAAATAATAAAAAGAGCAAGTGTAATAGAGTCGGTGAGAATTGAGGTAGCCTTTAGAGAAAAGATGATAACATTCTCCTCACCATGGAAATGCAAGGGCAGAAAAAAATAGAAACAGGCATGACACATTTTCAGGAAATAATATAACTGTTTAGGTAATAGGATTGTGGGGATTGTAGAATAAATAGAATAATAGGATTGTGGGGAGAATTTAGGAGAGGTAGAGGACAGCCAGCCATTGGAGTCACTGGAACACTAAGGTAATAAGGTAATAGGATTATCGACAGATATATTTAATGATTTGAGTAGAAAGATAAAAAACTATAAGGAAAGTGTATGAAAAGTGTAGTGACAGTGATAAAGATCTAAAAAGAACCAAGACCCATCTATTCACTATTAATTGGAGATGTCATGATTCTAGGACACCACTCTGGTAACTTATCAGCTCTGTGGATGACCACATAAGTAAGGTGGAGATTGAAATCATTTAGCTTACCGAGGCAATTTTCTTTGCTGCTTAGTTTAATTTAGAGAACAGTTTGTAGTACATGCACCAAAGGCTGCTCAATTTCTTAGAAATCACAAATATACATATCCTGCATCTGTTGCTACCATACGAAACTTCCCTATACTTACTTCTCCAACTGTATATAATAACAAAAATATTGATCTCTTGTGTGCTGGGCTCTGTTCCAGGTCTGGGGATCATGAATAATGCCTACCTGTGTGGAACTTCCATGTTAATAACATGAAACATAACAAAAAATTAAGATAATATATTAAATATTGATAAGTGCTGGGAAAAAAATAAAACTGCAGGCTATTAGGGTGGGGTGGTGCAGAGAAGGAGGTAACATTTAAAACTAGTGCCCAGGTAAGATATTGCAGAGGTGAGATTTGAGTGAAGTTTTTAAACAGTGAGAGGTTTTTAAACGCAACTATAAAGAATGCCACAGTAGGAGTATGTTGTGTGTAAGGAACAGCAGAGGGAGCAAGATTGAAAGGAGTCTGAGATGGAAGGAGACTTGTCAGTATTACTAATGCTGTCCAACTGACTTGGGAACCACTCCAGGGGTTCATCTGGTGTCCTTACATTGTAGGATTTTCATTTTGCTGCACTGATAGAGGACTGGATAGTAGATAAAGATATAAGCAGGAAGATCTGGAAGGCAGTTACAATAACTCAGTAGAATAAGGTGGTACTGATTAGAAATGGATGAAAGCTATCAGTTTATCAGTTATACACATGTTTACTACCAAAAATTGTGAAGACTTAAAACCATCAGAATGACCCCTTCTAGACAATTATTAATTTCTTGTAGTTTTTTTTAAACTGTATTCCTCTGTTCCTAAACATATTTTCACTCCTCTCCTACTTAGTATAAATTATTATTATCACCTATGCATGACTTACACTTAGTTGTGTACAGCAAATTATTTTTTAGTAAATACCTAAAAAGCTCTATACCATACAGACACGTAAATATATTTGCATAAACACAGTTACTGAGTTGCTACCTCATAACTTCCTAGAATACCAGGAAGAGATTTTTATGTAGTGAGTCACTAATCAAAATGGTGCTATTGTGATCATCAAAAATTTCATTTAATACTTGTTGACTGTAAAATTTTATTTCTAGCTACAGACTATATTTTTATACTGATAACCTTTTTTATTAAATTTAAATAGGAATTACCTGAAAATCCATGGGGGAAATCATCTGTTCATCTCTATTTTGATGGAATGTCACTTTCTTACTTTATGGTCCATCATAAATATTGTACTGTTGAACATTCTGAGGAAATATTAAAAGAAGTAAGTTAATTATTATAAGTATAGAAAAATTAATTTGGCTTAAAATGTCCTTTTGTCTGATACAAAGTTGTAGATATGGTCCCTAATGTTTGATATATTAAGAATCAGGAAAACTTATTAATAACTATTTATTAAGAAAGTAATACACTAGATCATGCTTTATAAATAGCCTAAACAAAAGTTTAAATGTTACTAAGATTTAATTAATGTTCCTTAACCTTCAAACCTAAAAAACCCATGTTTAGTCAGTGTAGTTTGACTATATAGATGTAAAAACCTTTATAAATTACAAGACTCTTTCCCCAGATAAAATATTTTCACCATTTATATGACATTATAATAGTTCCTCTAATCATGCTCAGTGAAATAAGTCAGAAGGAAAAAGAAAAATATCAAATGGTTTCACTTATAGGAAGAATATAAGAGAACCAAAGACATGGGGGGGGGAAATTATATTGGTTATTACAGTATAAAGCAAGTATTACAACAAAGCAAGACAAAAACAAAAGGACAATTATAAGCAAGAGATTTCCTACAGGGGCAGGAGTGGGGAGAGAGGGAGGAGCGTGGGGTACTGTGGTGATGATGTGGGGGCAAATTAAGGGAGAGGAGAAGTAAATAGTATTTTAAATGAACAACAGTGTAAACAGGTATATAAATTAATAAATTTTAAAAAGTTTCCCCTATTTTATTTTATACAGGAAATTTAGACCCAGATTTCAAGCTTAGCTTCAATAAACAGTCCATTCCAGTTGACCTGGTTCTTCTGTCTATAATATTTTTAAAAAACATAATTAGCCTATGATAAATATGTTATCACATTACAAGATGCTATAAATACTTTATAGAAATATGATGTCATTCTGTTTAGCAAGATATCTTTGTCTCAATTTATTGTTCACTAAGTTTTTGAATATTCATTTTAGTAGCAATACATACCAGATACTGAGTGTTCAATATAGGAAACTACTTTCTTCTCTTCATACATGTAAACCTCAGGGCAAGCTTTTTCTTTTGATCAAAGCAGTATGTGCCAGCATAACAATAAAAGATGTTCCATCTATTAAACTGGCTATTCATAATAAATAAATAAGTCTCTATCTTCAACTTGAGCTAGTCAATGTGAACATTTAGAGGGAAAAGGGAAGAGTCCCCAGTCCCTTATAAAAATTACCACTGATGTGTTTGACATAATTGTGAGTACTCTTATTATTTTGCAATGCTAAGATTATTCAGAATATTAGGGTTTTTTTCTTAATTAACCTAACTTAGTAACTAAAGGAATGCCAACAAGGACATGCACTTCATTTTTGTGATAGTGAAATATGAAAGTGCTTTATAATGATATTGTATTGTTAAGATGATTTTATTCATTAATAATAATACATTATTTCAGAAACCAACAAATTACAATAAAAAGTATGAGGAAGAAAGATGGGAAATAAGGTTTGAGGTAAGTAATTCGAAATAATTTAGAAACCTTGGCTACTTCATACAAAGGAATGATACAAAATCAGGAAGTAAGAATTTCCTTTTATAATAGCTTTATTAATGCATAATTTCCATATCATAAAGCCCATCTTTTTTAAAATTTTCAATTCAATGACTTTAAATATATTTACAGAGTTGTGTAATAACCATGACTATCTAATTCTGTATTTTATCACCCCAAAAGAAGACTCATAGCAAGTCACTTTTCAGTATCTTTTTCCCTAGTATCCTAGAAGCCACAAATCTTCTGACTCCATGTGGACTTTCCTATTTTGGACTTTTCATATAATGTAGTTATCAATACATATCCCTCTGTGATTACTTTCACTGAGCATGTTTTCAAGGTGTATTAGTATTGTAGTGTGTGTCCTTTTTATTGCTGAATAATATTCCATTATATAGTTTATACCACATTTTGTTTATCATTGATCTTTTGATGGACATGAGTTGTTTTGTCTATTTTGCATTTGTGAATAAAACCAGTATAAACATTCATGTACAAATTTGTATGGGGACAACTGTTTTTACTTCTCTGGGGATAGACCCAGGAATGGAATCAGGAAGTCATAAGGTGACTCTATTTACCATTTTGACTCTTTTCCTAATTATCCTAAGATAGGCAGGAAGTGGTAGTTAGATCCTACTGGTCTTGTTAAGTATTTTCCTAATGCATACATTATTGCATTTGTTCTTTGGCTACTTGTATATTTTCTTTAGTGCAATATCTGTTCAACAAATAATGATGAGATTCATATGGAACCACAAAAAACCTTGAATAGTCAAAACTCTCCTGACTAAAACAAAAGAGAACGGAGGCATCACACTCCCAGAATTTAGACTATACTACAAAGCCATACTAATCAAAACTGCATGGTACTGGAATGAGAAGGACATACAAACCAATGGAACCAAATAGAAAATCCAGATATAAATCCACAGTTCTACGGACAGCTAATCTTTGACAAAGGAGCAAAAACTATGCAATGGAATAAAGATAGTTTGTTCAGCAAATGATGTGGGGAAACGAGGCCGCAACATCCAAAAAAAAATGAAGCTAGATTACTATTTTAGACCATAAACAAAAACCAACTCAAAATGGATTAAAGAACTAGACATAAGGCCTGAAATCATAAAATATATAGAACAAAATATTGGTGAAACACTACATAACATATACTTCAGTAACATCTTTAAATATACATCACCCAAATCAAGGATAGTGAAGGAGAGGGTAAACAGCTGGGACTACATCAAATTACAGAGCTTCCATACAGCAAAAGAGACATTAACCAAAACAGAGTCTCCCTACTGATTGGGGGGAGGAAATTTTGCACACAATACTAATGATAAAAGTCTGATCATAAAGGTATACAAAGAGCTGACAAACCTGAAGAAAGTAAAGTGAGCAACCCCATCAAAAAATGGACAGCCAAAAAGACACTTCTCCAAAGAGGAAATGCAGATGGCCAACAGGCATATGAAAAAAATGTTCACCATTGCTTGTAATAAGGGAAATGTAAATGAAAATCACAATGAGATATGTTCTCAGACCAGGGAGAATGGCACATATTAAAAACACTAGTGACAACAAATGTTGGTGAGGATGTGGAGAAAAAGAAACTCTCCTACACTGCTGATGGGAATGCAAACAGATACAATCACTATGAAAAGCCACTTGGAGGTTTCTCAGACTGCTAAAAATTGAGCTTCCTTATGATCCAGCAATTCCACTCCTAGGTATCTACTCAAAGATCACAAAAACATTAATCCAAAAGTACACCTACATCTCTATGTTTATTGCTGCACTATTTATAATAGGGAAGATATGAAATCAACCCAAATGCCCAAAAATGGGTGATTGGGTCAAGAAGATGTAGTACAGATATACCATGGAATATTACTCAGCAATCAAAGATGATAAATTCATGCCTTTTGCAGCAACAATGGATGGAGCTGAAAGGAATTGTGCTTAGTGAAATGAGCCAGAAAGAATATGAAGAATACCAGATGGTTTCACTCGTAGCAGAAGCATAAGGGATCAGGAAAAAAATAACAATTGTAATCAAGTATAAATTGAAAAACAGCCATAAACCAGAACATTCTGTGAGGGTGGAGAGGGGAATAGGATCAAAACTGGGGTAGAAAGAGCACATGTGACTATGGTGCTTGCACATGGGTGATTGGTGACAAAATGAATAATGATGTAGTATATATATGTAATACATATACTAATAAATATCTGTGCAAGTCCTCTGCCCAGGATATAACATCAATAACAAAAAATATTAAACTGGTGGTACTACATTAAAAAACTTACATCAAAGAAGATCATCAATAAAATGAAAAGTAACTTGCTGAATGGGAGAAAATACTTCCAAATATATATCTGATAAGGAATTAATATCCACAATATATAAAAAAACTTCTACAACCTAACAGAAATATTCAATTTAAAAATGGACTGAAGAACTGAAAAGACATTTTTCCAAAGCAGATATACCTGTGGTCGACAGGTAAATGAAGAGTTATCAGAAGAAATATGTTTTTATAACTATGTGAGGTGAAAGATTAAACTTATTGTGGCTATATGTAATATGTACATACACATATATCAAATCATTGTGCTGTACATAATACAATGTTATATGTCCGTTATATATCAATAAAACTAAAAAAAAAGAAGTTAGTCTTTTACCCATTATTTTAATTGGATTGTATATTGTTTAGTGGCTAGAGTTCTTTATACAAATATCATTAATAGAAATGATTTGCAGATATTTTCGCCCATTCTGTGAGTAGGCTTTTTACTTTCTTGATGCACTAATTATTTGTTTTGATGAACTCTTCATCTGTTTTGTCTTTTGCCACTGTGCTTTTTTTGTGCAGGAAGTAAAAGTTTTAATTAGTAAGAGTTAGCATTTTTAAGTAGAATTTCATTCATAAGACTATAAAAATAGTATGTGCTTGTTGTAAAGTGACTTGAAACAAATCAGTAAAATACAACAGTGCATAGTCACTTTTTGCTAAACTCTTTAGTGTTTCAAATATATTTTGTTTTGGTTTGCTACCCATTTAGAGTGTTAAATAGCAATAAATATATAAATTTTAATTGATGAGTTTACACTAATTACTATACTTAAGACTTATAAAACTTTCTGAAGGTCATGCACCCACATTTTTATGTATATTTGCTTTTAACTATAGCTAATTGCTATCATCCTCTTAAAAGTCACATGACTTCCTATTATTCTTATGCTTTTATAGTAAACATATCCTTTTTGATAATTTTTTTATATAAGTTTATTTTTACATCATTTTGTACACTTATTTTTTCCGATCTCAATTGTAATCCCCGTAGGTTTCGATCACCAAGTCACCCGTGTGCCATCACCATAATCCCGTGCACTTCCCTCCCCAAGCCCCGTTTTGATCCCATTGCCCACTGCAAAATGTCTCTGGTATATGGTTGTTCATTATTCTTGTTATTTTCTCGCCTGGTCCATTATACCCCTGCTATGAGTGAAACCATCCGGTATTTTTCTTTCTTTTTCTGGCTTATCT